CTGTCTCAAAAAAAAAAAAAAAAAAAAAAATACCATTACCTTCACAGGTTTTCAGTTGTTTGTTCTTTTCCTTCTTATTTAGAAACCGACCAGAGGGGAAAGTGTTGGAGACTGTTGGTGTGTTTGAGATGCCAAAACAGAATGGAAAATATGAGACTGGGCAGGTAAGGATTAGCCGGGATCATCTTTCATTTTCATGGAGTGCTCTGCTTCTGAAATAAGTCAGACTTGATCACAGGTCTGAATGGTATGGTTTTCCATTCATTCCACTTTGATAGGTGCCTGACCAGAATCACAAATTTTTAAAGATGGGGTTTCTTTTTGCTAAAGATTTGAACACATTTCATGTGTCAGCGATTCTCTCCAAATTAGTGTGGACAGGGATGGTTTGGACTATAGTGAAGATTAAGCCAGGTTGCTAAAGGTTCCTTTAACATAGTGGATGGTAGGAAGCTAATGGAGGGAACTTTCAGAAAGTAAACCTTTGATTGCAGTGTGGTAAGCTCTATATCAGCTTTGTTCTCTAACTACTGGGACAGATTGAGGCCTCTGGTGGGTAAGGAATACTTTCTATTTATTCAGTGTATTTTTTTTTTTTATGTGCCTACAATGGACCAGGCATTGTGCATTAGGGTTATAGCAGAAAGCAAGGTAGATATGATTCCTGCCTTCATGGAGTTTGCAATGTAGAAAGGAATTAATATGTAAATGGCCAATGGTACTACATTCTGCTAGTGAAGGGGAGGAAAAGAAGGCTTCCTGGAGGCCTAAGCTTTGACCTAAGTCCTAAAGGGTAAGTAGAGTCAGCCAGTGAAAGAAGGGATAAGAGACAAGAGTGTTCTGGAGTTGGTCTGGGTTGATCACAGAGTTCATGGGAAAGGTGGCAACACTTTGTGCTGGAGATAACTCCACCTGTGCTGCTTGGAGGTCTGGGCCTCATGTGGATAGAATTGCTGCACTGCAGACTCACTGAGGCTTCTCTTTCCTCCCAGCTTTTCCTTCATAGTGTTTTTGGCTATCGAGGCGTCGTCTTGTTTCCCTGGCAGGCCAGACTGTATGATCGGGATGTGGCTTCTGCAGCTCCAGAAAAGTAAGTGTCCCTGTCATTGTGCTTCACAGTATCCTCAGGAGGAGGCCTGACTCGTGGCAGACATACGTAAATGGAGTCCCAAGGGTGAAGACAGCATCCTCCTGGGCCTTGGCAACAGCTCTAGAGTACATCTCTGGCACTAAAACTCATGGAGACAGAAGTGCCAGAGACAGTCTTAAGCCCTTGAGGCCCCCTACAGAATGCTCTTCTTACCTAGTTTTCATTATAAGTACCCAGAGGGCATTTGGGGGACCAGTCTTCTTGATTTCTTCATGTTCAGTTGGAATCTTGCCCTTAATCTCACGTCATCACTCTAGAGTACATTGACAGGTCCAGCTCTATTAAGTGGTCACACCCTGGGATGTAAGAAGAGGAGGGTACTTTCGGTCCTGGGGACTGACAATTTGATTTTCTCAAGATAGCCCCCTTCTTCCAGGAGGCATCTGGAGAATAAGACAAATGATGATTCTGTACCATAGGTTCTCCCCACTCCATTGCTTGCCTCTGCCTGCAGAGCCGCTGGGCAGGGTGTTGTTGAGCAGATTCTAATAGTGCTAAGCCCCTTCAGATCAGGGGACTAGTCTGTTCAGGTGAGGAGATGGTAGGGAGGTGAGTTAGGCATAGCCTCCATTTCTGTCAGTGACCTTGGCCACCTTTTCCTATCCCACAGAACAGAGAACCCTGCCGGCCATGGCTCTAAGGAGGTGAAAGGCAAAACTCACACTTACTATCAGGTGCTGATTGATGCTCGTGACTGCCCACATATAGTAAGTAAGCAAGATGGTTGATCCTGGGGGCTCCCCATGGGAAAGGCCTATACCCCAATAGGGACAAAGGGAGGGAAAGGGTCAAATAGAGCCTAGATCAGCCCTGGGCTTCAAAGCCTTGGAACTGCACAGTAGCCAAGAAAGCCTTTAATTCACTTCTTGCCTTAGTCTCAGAGATCTCAGACAGAAGCTGTGACCTTCTTGGCTAATCATGATGACAGCCGGGCCCTCTATGCCATCCCTGGTGAGTAGTTACCATCTGCACGGTACCTGTCAAGAAAGGGTGTAGGCTGTGTGCCCGAGCACAATGGTTACAGTGCCAGCCACATACACCGAGGGTGGGTTTGAACCCAGCCTGGGCCAGCTAAACAATGACAGCTGCAACAACAACAACATAAAATAGCCGGGTGTTGTGGCTAGTGCCTGTAGTCCCAGCTACTTGGGAGGCTGAGGCAAGAGAATCACTTAAGCCCCAAAGTTTGAGGTTGCTGTGAGCTGTGACACCATGGCACTCTACCAAGGGTGACATAGTTTGACTCTGTCTCAAAAAAAAGAAAGAAAGGGTCTAATGTGTCTCTGGGAGAAGCTTCTGATGTCCTGTAATCTGCTGGGAGGGACTGTGATGCTAAGAGGTATGGTGGCAGAGTTGTCCCCACACTGGGATAAGGCCAGGAAGTGTTTCTTCTCAGCCGGGTTTCTTCTCCTGTATGAGTTTCACTGTCTCATTGCCAGGTTTGGACTATGTCAGCCATGAAGATATCCTCCCCTATACCTCCACTGATCAGGTTCCCATCCAGCATGAGCTTTTTGAAAGATTTCTTCTGTATGACCAGACAAAAGGTAATCTCTCTCAAGAGAAGCTAGAATGGAAGTTCATCAAGAGAGTATCATAGAAATAATTCCAAAGCTCTATTTCCACATACCTTTTGAAACTCACATTATACCTTCCAGGTACAGAAACTGAGGCTCAGGGATAATTGTAAATTACTCAAGGTTGTTAGTAGCACAGCATGATCTGGAAACTAGGGCTGTTCACTGCCAGTCCAGTCACACTGCCTCCTCATGGCTTATCCTTGGCAGCATTTCTTTGTCTTTTTCCAGCCTGTACTTTTGTTTCATATATGAGTGTCCCGTTCACCTGGACCACCACTGGGAAGAGTTTTCTAGAAAGGGCAGTCGGAGAGTGAGTGCAATGCCTTGTACTCTGGTCTGGACTGATTAGTTGTCTATTGCCCTAGCACCCCCTTTTGTGGCTCGGGAGACGCTACGGGCCTGGCAAGAGAAGAATCATCCCTGGCTAGAGCTCTCTGATGTCCACCGGGAAACGACTGAGAACATCCGTGTCACTGTCATCCCCTTCTACATGGGCATGAGGGTATGTGCCCAGCCTGGGCCCCTCCTTCAGGCAGGCTGCAGATTCTGTGTGCTGTTCACATTGTGGCTGCTTGGGGAGAGGGGGATTTCTAAATTTAAAACTTGAAATCCCTATGGTTCTGTGTTGAGTGCAGTTGAGTAGCCTCCTGGCAATGTCTTGACACAGAGATCTGTCTCAGAGCAAGGAAACTCACAGGTCCCCAGGAAGGAGTCCTCCGTGCTGCTCTTCCTTCTTCTCTGTGGCTCAAAGGGAGCCATGTTTATGAAGAATATGCACATGTTTAATCAGTGTAGGCTGACCTTCACACTTTGTGCTCTAGCTAAATGTTTCTTAAGCTGTTTCTTTGGCTGTAAGCTTGGTTCTGGGGATACGAATATAAATAAAGCTAAAGCACCGTCCCTGCCCTCCAGGTGCTGTTATCAGGGGAAAGGAGAGCTAGGGGAGGACAGGCAGGGCTGGTGAGGAGGGTAGTAAGAAACGTTAAGAGCCCCTGGAGTTGATTTCTCTCAGTATCCAGTGCTGCTGGTGATCTTGATAGGATGAAGAGGAGGGAGGTGCCAAGAATGGACATGGGATTCTACCTCCCTATGGGGTTGTGGGCCACAGCTCAGTCGCCATCCTTATCCCACAGATACTCTGTCTCTGCCACCTTCCTGGAATACTTCTATTCCATAGGAGAGATATTGATTGGAACAGGCTTGGTCTTGCCTAATGGGACTTAAATCTTTGTGTTTTTTTTTTTTTTCCCAGGAAGCCCAGAATTCCCATGTTTACTGGGTGAGTGTCTTCGTCAAGGGAGAGGGGAGCTCAGGTGTCTCTGGAGGTCAGATGGGAGGGAGGGAATTTTCTTATCTCCTAGGGGGTGGAGCCCATGCAATGCAGGTGTCAGCCTTTGGTGCCTCTTGTTCTGCACGGAATTCTGGGGTGGGCTAGCCCAGGGCCTATTCTTTCTTAAACACACCTCCCTTGCTCCCCACAGTGGCGCTACTGTATCCGCTTGGAGAACCTTGACAGTGATGTGGTACAGCTCCGGGAGCGGCATTGGAGGATATTCAGTCTTTCTGGCACCTTGGAGACAGTGCGAGGCCGAGGGGTGGTGGGCAGGGTGAGTATCATTGGGCCACTAATGGCTGGTTTCTGGTCCTGCCCTGCTTGCCTGGGGCTTGGTGTGTGGTTTCCTCTTCCTGTGTGGTTACAGAAAAGAGGCTCCGGCTCGGCGCCTGTGGCTCAACCAGCTAAGGCGCCAGCCACGTACACCTAAGGTGGCGGGTTTGAATCCCCAGCCCGGACCCGCCAAACAACAATGACGGCTGCAACCAAAAAATAGCCAGGCGTTGTGGCGGGCGCCTGTGGTCCCAGCTACTTGGGAGGCGGAGGCAGGAGACTCGCTTGAGCCCAGGAGTTGGAGGTTGCTGTGAGCTGTAATGCCACAGCACTCTACCCAGGGGGATAGCTTGAGGCTCTGTCTCAAAAAAAAAAAAAAGAAAGAAAAGAGGCTCCCTCTGAACCCTTTGGGTTGCTTTGGGTTAGAAATCCTACAACTCTGGGAAGTGGGTTTTGTACAACTCATTTCACAGGTGAAGAGAATGAATGAGACCAAGAAGTTAAGTACCTAAGATGTCCCACAGCTGGTGGTGGCAGGGCCTGGATTTAAACCCAAGTAATTTTGAAGTCCAAGCTTTTGTAGTTTTTGTTGATTGGCATGTCTTAAAAATCTGATTTTGAGTGCCCTTAGGTGGGGCACGCATCTCCCACCACTCCCCCATGGTCTTGTTTCTGCCTCATTTTACATGTGTATATCTGTTGCTGACCCTTGAGGAGCTTTTATAATTCCTGCCTACTCTCCCTGGCCTCCTGAAAACTAAGGCACAAGTAGTACTGGTGCCTCAGGCCACATTCCACAAGCGTTTGTTCAAGTTAGCAGGGACTTGGAGAGCAGCGTGATTAAGTAAGAACAGGGCTTTGGAATTAGTCTGGCTTCAAACTCTGTTATTTTCTTACTGCAGATTATTTAACCAAAATCTCAGGTGCTTACTGCTGATAAGGATCACACCTATAACCTTATGACTGCTAGGAGAATTAACTCAGCAAAGGCTTGTAGTGTACCTGTCATGATGCTTGGCCCTTAGCACTTGTGAACGGATACTGTGAAGGATATTTACAGAGTTGCTCCTGTATGTGGCATCTTTGTGTGGTGCCCTCATTCAGTCTGAGATTTTGTCCTAGAGTTAGGAGGAAAGGCCCATGCCTGTGGCCATGCTACGGGAAGAGGCACCTGCAGGCAGTTGTGGGAATGCCTGTTGCAGTGGTGACAGGTAGGGGGCAGCCAGTTGTGATGGCAGTCAGCATGTGTTCCCTGCACCCTGAAGCCACATGCTGACTGCCATCACGTGCAAGGCAAGGTCCCTGGGCCTTGGCCTGACCCATTTTACCAAAATCCTTACAGGAACCAGTGTTGTCCAAGGAGCAGCCTGCGTTCCAGTATAGCAGCCACGTCTCCCTGCAAGCGTCTAGTGGACACATGTGGTAAGTTTGCGCGTGTGCTGTCTTGACTCCACAGATACATCTAGCAAGCTCAAGGCTGGCAATTAAAACTAGGCCTGTTTAAATCCTGAGATGGACTCAGTCCAATTGTGTGGGCCTTCTCTGATTTTTTATTACTGAAGACTTAGGCCAGAGGTCCAGTGATTTGATGCTGCAGTTACTCATGTTGTCGGAGTTTTTCCTTGGCATTTCACTCCTTAACTGGAAAGTACAGTTGGGCAGCTTATGCAGTGTGTATCTCAGGTTAGAATCTGGGTAGCTATTTCTTTTCTTTTCTTTTTTTTTTTTTTTACGACAGTCTTACTTTGTAGCCCTCAGTAGAGTTCAATGGCATCACAGCTCATAGCAACTTCAAACTCCTGGGCTCAAGTGATCCTCTTGCCTCAGCCTCCCAAGTAGCTGGGACGACAGGCACCGGCCACAATGCCTGGCTGTTTTTTTTTTTTTAAGAGATGGAGTCTAGCTCTTGCTTGGGCTAGTCTCCAACATGTGAGCTCAGGCAATCCACCCTCCTCAGCTTCCCAAAGCACTAGGATTACAGGCATGAGCCACTGCGCTCTGCCACTATTTCTTCTTTTCATGTGAGGCCAAGATGGGCTCTTGGGTCTCTGGACCAGTCATTCTGTCATCAGCTAGAGAAGGGAGCCCAGGTCTGCCTCATCTCCGCGACTGTGGAGCTGAGGGCAATGGCCCATCTAGATCCTTAGGAGGGGATCAGCCCCAACTCCCTCTAAACTAGCTTCTCTCTGACCCACAGGGGCACGTTCCGCTTTGAGAGACCTGATGGCTCCCACTTTGATGTCCGGATCCCTCCCTTCTCCTTGGAAAGCAATAAAGATGAGAAGACGCCTCCCTCAGGCCTCCACTGGTAGGCCAGCCAAGGCCCTGAGTATCCATGCTCAGCCCCGCAAAGAACAATTTTCATCCCACAGAACTCTTCTGTCCTCATTATGAGTCACAGTGGGTCTCTTAATTTGTGATTGTGGGGTCCTTTCTGGGGGTAGGGGTGATGTAACTGTTTTCTTGGAAGACCCGTGTAGAACTCTTCCAAGGCTGGCCTCCACCAAGGAACTGTGTTCAGCTGCCACAGGCCTGGAGGAGCTTCTTAGCCTGTCACACAACTTATCTGGAATGTGAGATTTGGTCAATAAATGAGTGCACGCTTGGCCACCCTCGCCATTTCTGCCTCAAGTTGCAGGCTCTTTCTGACCCAGTGGGGGCCCTTGACTGCTTTCTGTGCTGCCCTTCCAGAGAGCTGCTGCTCTGTTATAATATGTGCCTGTTTCCCTCAGCCTGAGGGCTGGCCAGGCATCTCAGCTAGTGGGTGAACACTGGATTGGACTCTTGTGTTTTCTTTACCTTGTGCCAAGTGCAGACAGGGAAGCCAGTGTTGGGATCAGAGAGGCCTGGCTCTTGGCACTGACAACCATTGTCATCTCTGGCCTCACTGTGCCCAGGAGAAGATGAAGCAAGCCAGTTGGGTTTCCTGGAGCACTGGGCTCTAACTACAAGTCTGTCAAGCATCTAGACCACAAATGCAGGAATTCAGCAGAGGAGCAGCTTTAGATATGGACAGTGAAGCCAAGCTACTTCCTGAACTTTTCAGATATCCAGGAGCCAGAAATGAACTGCACAGCATTCTGCCCTAATTCTTAGGATTCCTTCTTCCGTACCAAAGCAGTGATTGTTAGAAGTCTTTTTATTCTTAATCTTTATTCTTAAATTAGTATTAAATCTCAGTTCCAGCCCTTGTTATTGTTGTCCTTAATCCTCCACCAGGGGGAGCCTGGGTTGCAGGGCAACTGAGTACAGTGGGTGGCATGACCCAGCTAGAACACAAGGTCAAGTTGTGAACAGAAGTACAGGAACTAAGCCTGCAGCAGTGAGCTGGCCAAGCCCTACTCTCAGTAAACATGGCTCTGTTCCATTGCAGTAACACTTTTATTAGAAATTAGTGTTTACTTCTATCACTTACGCTGAGTGACAAAGTATTGCAGTTATGTGATAAAGGAAAAATTCTCGCATGCCAAGACTGGTGCCATCCTTCAGGCGTAACCCTGGTCACATACAAATTCCAATAAAACCCAATACTGGTCTGTGTTGTTGACAGCAGGCTTCCAGTTTTCTCAGAAAGTGACAAAGTTCAGGCTGTGTGTAGTGGCTTATGCCTGTAATCCTAGCATGCTGAGGCAGGCAGATCGCTGCAGCTCAGGAGTTCAAGACCAGCCTGAGTAAGAGTGAGACCCCCATCTCTACTAAAATAGAAAAATGAACTGTGCATGGTGGCAGGTGCTTACGGTTGTAGCTACCCCAGAGGCTTACATAGGAGGACTGCTTGAGCCCAAGAGTTTGAGGTTGCTGTGAGCTAGGCTGATATCACAGCACTCTAGTTTGGGCAACAGAGTGATACTCTGTCTCAAAAAACAACAAGTTTGGTGGCACCTGTGGCTTAGTGGGTAGGGTGCCAGCACATACACCCAAACTGGCGGTTTGAAACTAGCCTGGGCCAGCTAAACAATGACAACCGCAACAAAAAAGTAGCCGGGCGCTGTGGTGGGTGCCTATAGTCCCAGCTACTTGGGAAGCTGAGCTAAGAGAATCCCTTAAGCCCAAGAGTTTGAGGTTGGTGTGAGCTATGATGCCATGGCACTCTACCAGAGGCAAGAAAGTGAGACTCTGTCTCAAAAAAACGTTTGACCTTATCCACGCTTTTTGTTTACTCCCTCCTGGGGCTGCTTGATGTTAAAAAATAGAGTCAAGAGCTGCTTTCTGAATGGGGCTGGGAAACTTTCAGAGAAATTTGCTCCAAATCCTTAAGCCACAAAGTTTGATTAAAGATGCCAAGATCTGGCTCGGCGCCTATAGCTCAACCGGCTAAGGCGCCAGCCACGTACACCTAGGGTGGCGGGTTCGAATCCCCAGCCCGGACCCGCCAAACAACGATGGCTGCAACCAAAAAATGGCCGGGTGTTGTGGCGGGCGCCTGTGGTCCCAGCACTTGGGAGGCGGAGGCAGGAGACTCGCTTGAGCCCAGGAGTTGGAGGTTGCTGTGAGCTGTAATGCCACGGCACTCTGCCCAGGGGGACAGAGGCTCTGTCTCAAAAAAAAAAAAAGATGCCAAGATCACTTCAGTGAGTCTCCTCAATGAAGACCAAGGAGGTATTTTCAATCACAGAGGATAAATGCCCAGTCTCCTGTGCTTTCTCAGAAGAAAGCCTAGTCACCACTGAGACAGGAAGATCTGAATGGCAGAGCACTGAGTACAGGCTGAAAGGGGGATGAAGAGGTCAAAGGGCAAGCCTGAAAATACCTCAGTGGGGAACTGGGAATTTGAGTATTAAAGGGCTTCAAGAGGGCAGCTGAGAAAACGGGCCAGTGAAAGACTCTGCGGGAAAGCCACAAAGCCAAAGCCTGAATTTGGCCAAATAAATGGATATGTCCTATCTTGTTACTCCAGTAAGGGCTGGAAGAACTAGCAGCTCATCACCAAGGTCCCTGACCTGAGAGTCTTAGAGCTATTATACATTCAAGACTGTGACTAACACATAAAATGCCTGACTGAAGTCCCATGTCTCCTCTCATCATGTCACTTCAGGTCCTTGTGAGTGTCTAACCCTGGTCCTGGCACTTGTCCATAGACTCTGTGGGCCAACCATGAGCAGCCACTTAGCTATCATGAGAGTAGTCAAGAGGGATGAACTTGATAACCTTCATCCCTTCCATGTGGTTATGTTGCTTTGTTGGACTGGCACAACTGCTCCCTCCCTGACAGCATTCCTTTGGAAAGAATTCAGATAAGCTGCTTCCCAAGGGCCAGGCCAAACAGAAGAAGGGAATGAAAAACAAAGCCCTAAAGAGGAACTTACACCCTGGCTGATGCTTGGCATCTCCATGGCTAAGTTGCCCAAAGAGTTGAAGACCTTTAAGGGGCATAGGGTGGTCCTTCATCCTGTGTTCTGAAACTCACCACTGTGCAGAATGACCATCCCCAGCCAGGATACAAACCAGGAAAGAGCGGGGTGGGAGATACATGGCCACACACATGCCACCTCTTCCCAGGAGCTGCTGAGAGCACAGCTGAGGCTCTGACTTGGCTGTCCTTGCCTGATGATGGTCACACCAGCCAGTACTATCCAGAGCCCAGGGGCTCCACAGCCTTCCTGCCTGCCATGGCTCGTGTTTCTAGTGTGAAGTAGTTTTTTTACCCTATGACAGCTCTTTGGCTTTACAGTATGTAAGAACAGCATGCCTTGGAGCCATGGGCACTCAAAAGATAAGAAAAGCAAAAAGAGTGATCATGGTAGACCCCAGGAGCCAGTTATTTGACTCTAAGATGTGGGGGTAAAATGTCTTTTCTCACAGGAACCCTATCAGTACTCCAGAGCCCAACTTATGCACCCTTAGTGCTCTTTGGGTTGGCTGTGTGGCCAGGCTGGCAAAGTCACAGCTGGTCTGTATTTTTACTGCTTCCTCTGACTGAGGCTGCAGGGTAGAAGGGATTGGGGTCAGAAAAGACATGGGTCGGGGCAGAATACAAATCTTCTGAATAACAGTACAAAGTGCTTTAAAGAAACGGATCCCAAGGCATGGAGAAGGGCCAAGGGGTCTGTCATATATGCAGGGTCTTGGCACCCTGGAGGGCAACTAAAATGCCCTGTCTCATTATTAGACTTAAAACTATTCATTTCCTAGATTATTTTTTAAAAACAAAACTCATCAAGCATGTGCTTAAATACCTTGGAAAAAAAAGAAATCCTACCTTCTGTTAAAAAAACTGGGTCTCCACAGCACCAGCAGCCCCTCTTCCCCTGAATGAACCCATCCCCCACAGGCCTTAGTGGAGGCCTAAGGGTAGTAGCCCTTCTGTAGAGGAAGGAGGTGCTCAGCAAAGAGCCTAGGGGAATGTTCGTAGCTGGAGGTGGGTAGATTAGTCCACTTACCCCAGAGCAGAAGTGACTCCGTGTCAGGCAAGAAGGCAGATGCTGAGCAAATGTTACAGGACTCAGTCATCTGGAAGTGCTCAGGGGCAAGGCAAAGGAATGTAGTCCCTCCCCTGCCCAGGCCTTCTGACCTCCCAGCAGGGCCTGTCGTGCCTCTAGGTGCTGGAGCAGAGACACAGCTAGCAGCAGCACGGGGTGGCCAAGGGGTGGGCTTCCACAGGACAGGAGACAGGGCCTCCTGTGCCCTGACTCCCTGAGGGTCTTGTCAGTCACGATGGGCAGACTGGTGGCTGAGCTGCCGGTCATCATAAGTGCTATAGCGCTTGACGTGGATACGGCGAACACGGTCCCGCAACTCAAAGGTCTCCTCATCTTCACTAGGGGAAGCCTGGCTGCGGCTACGGCTCGTAGCTTCCAGCAAGGAGTTGTCAGGGATGCGGGGAGTCTCATACAGTAGAACATTGAGTGTTTCCTCATAGATTCGGGCCTCTGGGAATTCCACCTGGCGTGTGGGGAACAAGACTGAGTGAGGCTTCATTGCAGGGAGGGAGCTCATGTCAGAGCTCTCGGCCTCTTGCCAGCTCTGTAAGGCCTCCCGACTCTCCCACAAGACAGGTAGTCACTGTCTTAAGGGAGGGCAGACTTCCCTCCTGAGTGTTGAGGGGATATCCTCCATGGACATATGGGTACAGAGGACCAACCCTCCCCTACTCCAAGACTGATGGGCCAGCAGGCAGAGAGGGCAGCTGTGGCTTTGTGGCTAGGCCTAGGTCCAAAGGCATGTCCACCACTTCCTAATGCAGGGCCTTGGGCTTAACCTTTCTGGGCTGCAGTTTCTGTATGTGTAAAATGATGGTTCACATCTACCTCTGAAAGTTGCTGTCAACATTACAGGAAAGATGTACATTGCTTAGCAGAGAGCCTGACTCATAAATAACCAATAACCAACAGAAGCTGCTCTGAGGAGTTCCAGTGCTTCTTACGGCTTGCCTGACCTAGTGCTCTGCTCTCATGACCAACATGGAGGAAAGAGAAAAGGAATGTCAATTGAGGCATCTTCATTCTAACCTAACCTGCTACCATCTGCTCCCTCACCTGCCAAGTGGGAAGAATGGCCCCACCCCTGCCTCTTTTGCCAGTATGGTACAAGAGAGTAAAAAAGAGCTCATGCAAGAGAAAAGACTTAGGAAGATGACCAGAGCTGCTCCCCTGTCCACAGCTTAACCCACCACCACAGAGACCCACCACTGAATCCCTACTCCCCTGATATGTTCTGGAGCCTCATCCCTCCTATTCCCACCACTAGAAACTGTAGGAGGAAGCAGAGTCACCCATAAGCTGTCCTTTCCCGACCTGCAGCCATTCTGCCAGATGTGGCACCTCAGTAACCTGGGGGGCTAAGGAGGTATTCAAAGAGGCTGGCTACAGCCATGTGACTCCTCCACCCCACCCCATGAACAGGACATACACTTGTGGGAGGCAGCCACTCTCTGGGGAAGACACCTGTTGCACCTGGAAGGAAGTTAGCTGAGTTTATGTTAACTACCTCCTATCAGATGCCTCATGTGTGCCTGGCACTGTGGTTAAGTTGATTGACCAGCACACCCAACTGGTGGGGGCCAGAGAGGAGATCTGAAGAGCAATCGGTCTACCTCAGAAGCCTGAGCTATTATTTCCAATGCACCACACCGCTTCTCCTAAATGTGGTCTCATTTCATAATATCTCTTGTAAATTCATACTGTAATGTCATTCCCATGTCTGCAGATGCAGAAATTGAGGGCCAGAGGGTTTAAATGGCTTATCCAAAGCCAGAAAACTGGTAAGTAGTTGAACTACTGGAATTCATGACAACTTTAAAGACTCATCCTTACCCCCACACCAGGCTGTCCCCTGTCCCTCAGCTGTCAGAAACAAATGGTGCCTAGCACCGTCATGGTGTATTTGGAAAAGAGCCATATGTACACCCCTCTTGCTCCTTGTGGTGAAAAGGCTCTGACAGGGCTGCATTGGTTATGCCCCGACCACTCCCTGAAACAGCTGGTGTTTCCTCCCCACACACAGAGGGAAGCCCCACACCTTGGTCTGCTTCTTCTCGGTAGCATACACGATAGAGGTGCAGCACACCTCTGCCAGCTTACGACCTTGGCCATAGAAGGACCAGCAGCAGATCTCATCACCAATGACATCCTTGATGAAGAGTACACGGCCGTTGAAGCGCAAGGAGAGTTTGTCAAACAGTTCGATGTTTTTCAGCAAGTGGTCATCAGAGTTGCTACAAAAACCGCAAAGGCCAGCAGGCCAGGAATGAGGTTCCAGCATGAGGAAGGATGCTAGGGCAAGCTGGGCCCACCCTCCCTTCCTCTCCCTGACTCTATCCTGCTGGAATGAGCACAAAATGCCAGGGGGCCAGGAAAAGAAAGGTCACGGAGCACTCTCTGTGTTTGGAGGCCTGTGAGGAAATGGATTGAGTTGATTTTAAGTTAAAGCAGAGATAACTGAGGAAAGGTGGGCTCCTCTCACTGAGCCCAAAAGAAGGAAGCATGCTGCTATTTCAGCAGAAGGCTGTGGGAGTGACAATAGCAATGCGCCGTCCATGGGGAGTCACAGATCTGGGACTCTAGAGCCTGCTGCCACCTGTGTATAACTAATGGTGGCCTATGGAGAAGACACAAAGTGTGCTGGGGTAAGGGAGAACATTAGCCCAGCATGCAGTACATAGACTGGCTTAGAAGAACTCCTAGGCCTCCAGCTTCCCAGTGTCTCTCCTCCCATCGGTAAGATAATGTGTGAAAACACCCGGCATGCTGCCCAACATGGTGGTACACATAAAGGGCACATTCCATGTTCAGTCATCTATCTTGGCCAGGATCCTGCACAAGTTCCAGATGCTTCTGCCCCAATTTCCCTTCTACTCTCTGTTCTTCCCTCTTAGCACAACTGCTGCTGAGACCCAGACCTGTGCTGGGAGTGCAGGAGCCTCCCCCTGGGTCTGCTCCCCAGTGTCCACTTTGGCTACTCAGCCCTTTTAGCTGCTTCTGCAAACCTTCTCTGGGTCCTATGGCAGAGACCCCCACCCTACCTGGTGTAGGAATACTTGTTGTTGCTTCTGTTGTACAGCAGCTTCACCACGGGCTGTGAGAGAGGAGAGAGTGAGGGGCTGGGCCAGGGGCCTGGCATGCCCTGACCGTTGCCCCCAGAGGTCCCCAGTACCTTGGTGGAGGATTCAATGAGCCTCTCCTCCTCTTTCAGGGACGTGATGACAGGTATGTTGCACACAGGCTGGTAGGAGTCTTTTTTGTCCTGGGAGACACACAGAGCAGAGAAGCTTCTATGGAATCTTCTGCTTGCTAGGCTTAGCTAGGTACCTCCAGAGCCCTTCTGCCATGGCCACTGCCTGCTTGGTGACAGGGCTCATGAGGCTGCTGGCGAAAGAAACAGCCAGTGGGCAAGCAGACCCCCATTTCCAGAAAACTTAGAATGCATATACATAGGCATATAAACTAGAAGCAGGGCCTACTCACTGCCGAGCTTGAATGCCTGGCTGGGTGGCATCTCCCTGAATCTAAGCAGGTTTGGACTAATCTTTCCCACCTCTCACACAGCCTGCCAGGAACCAGACCCTCAAGTCCTGGAAGAAGGGGCTGACTTGACCTCATTAACCCCTGCCCACGCACCTGTAGAGCAGCCTGGCACATGTTCACCAGCCCCTGGATGAGGTAATATTTTGCTTCAGCCATCAATTCCTTGATTTCTTGCCGGTTTTGAGGGAGAGTGATGGTGTCATCTCGGAGGTAATTCAAAATGGTGCCAAAGTGCTTTCCACATCGGTCTATAAGGATCCAGCCTAGGGATTCAAATGGACCCCACGGGATTACTGCTTCCAAATGTGTCAGAGGTAGGCAAAGGCCACCCAAGAAGGAAGAAAGGTGCTTCACAGGGTAATAAAACTGGGGATGGAAATTCTAGCTCTCAGTTTCCCGCTGTTCTTTACCCTTCCTCCCCTACACCAAGAACAGGCATAGCCTATGGGAAATACAGGCCTCTCAGTCCTGTGGAGGCCACAGCTCAGGAGCACACAGGTATAGTCCTGGCACCATGGAAACCACTGCCACTGTAGCCTTCTGCCCACCACCCAGTCTTCTGGCACTGGTTTTTAAGAGAATCCTTTCTTATTTGAATATTTTAAAAGTATAGATCCTCTTCCTGGAAAATGCATACACATATCTGACATTCTATGTACAATTCTAAAGACTTCTGAAGCTGTGCTAAGTACTCCAGAAAGAAGTCCTATGCTAGATGAGGAGGTAAAGTGAATCTAAATTCTAGATCTCCCAGGCTTACACCCTGCCCTGAAGCCACCTTTTCAGAAATCCCTTGTCCCCTCCACACCCTGCCCCACAAGCCCAGCTGCCTTACCTTCTTTGTCAGTTAGCACCTCCATGCGCCCGCTGAACATGGCCTTGAGCATGGTGTCATGGCGGGTCAGTGCCCGCACGGTGGTGTAGTACAGAGAGCCACCCACGTTGAGCTGGATGTACTTGTTGCCTAGCCCTCCTCCCTTGAAACCGCTTAGCTTGGGCTTGGCCCCCGAGGCTGGGCACAGACAGGTATCCCCTGACATCTCCCGCTGCAGGTAGATCACCACACGGCAGGAGGTAGGCTTAGAAGACTCCGCCGTGGTGGAAGGGGTCACGAATGAGTGGCCAGGGAAGGCCAGAGCCTCATACTCTCAGTGCTGTGAGCAGAAGACGGGAGAGAAGACAGAAGTCAGCAGGCAGAGCCCTCAAACCAGGAGGGGACAATGGTAGAAACATAATCATAGTCATTCTCTTTCTCACAAGCCCAGGCACTCCCTGGCAGAGGATAAGTCCTCAGGAAAAGACTTTCCTGCTGTTTTTCTTGTTCCAGGAACCAGTCCTGGCTTGGTCACTTCACCAGCCTCTCTGAGACCCGGCTCCACTCTGGGCAGCAAGGAAGACAAGCAAACCCTTAGAATTACTCAGAGAGGGCCTGAGGAATAGATCACCCCGGGTGACTGGTCAGAGTCTAGTCATTTTCTTTCTTTCTTTTTTTCTTTTTTTTTTGAGACAAAGTCTCATTCCACTACTCAGGCTAGAGTACCATGGCAATAGCCTAGCTCATAGCAGTCTCAAACTACTGGGCTTAAGCAATCTTCCAACTTTAGTTTCTGGAGTAGCTGGGACTACAAGCACCCAGCACAACACCCAGCTAATTTTTTCTATTTTTAGTAGAGATGGGGTCTTGCTTTGCTGGTCTCAACCTCCTGAGCTCAAAAGATCCTCCTGCTTTGGCCCCCCCAAAGTGCTAGGCTTACATGCATTAGCCACTGTGCCTGGTCAGATTCTAGTCATTTTCTTTTCAAGGTTCTCAGGATTCCAGCATTCCAGACAAGCCTTCTGGGAATCCAACTGGCCTAGGAGCTTCCGTAAGAGCCAGAGGGACAGGATGCACTTCCTTTTTCTCTAAAGATTTCAGGCTCAGGGGCAGCTTGCACCAGTGCTTCCTCTGGGCACCACCAGGAAGAAAAGTAAAAGCAGTTTCAGGAGACACCTGAGTGAGGCAGGTTAGAGGAAGGTGGCCAGTGTTCTTGGCAGAGGTTACCTGAGCTCCAGGTAGAGCATCCTGACCTTCTTCTTTATTGGCACGGGCCTTGTCTCATGTTCCTAAAATTGTCACCATTTTTCAGCCTTACAACAGCTATTTTCATTTCTTTTTCCTAAGAGGGAGCCCAGCCCACTCTCTTTTTCTTCCCTCCCAACAAGAATTGGAGAAAGGACCAGAAAAGACAAGATGATAAAACTAAAAATAATAAAGTGAGCTGGGAGAATAGCTTGAGTCTAGGAGTTCAAGACCCGTCAGGGCGGCAACATGAAGAGAACCCCCGACTCTAAAACAAAAAAATAAAAATAAGATAAAATAAAAGCAGTGAATTTGGAAATTAAAATAGTAACAGGGGTTCATAGGAGAGAGGAGACAGGAAAGCAAAGGAGAGCAAAGCCAGGTCATCCTTCACGGTTTAAATTCTATATTCTGTTCTTGGCTTTCTAAAGAATCACTGAAATTCATTCACTGAAGAAAAAACATAAAGTTAACAATCATTGTATACTTACTATGTGCTGGGTACTATTCCTGGCAGTTACTATACAGTAGCTCATTTAATTCATTCAGCAATAAAACTATTGAGTGCCTTCTTTGCTAAGCAATAGGGAATGATGAAAATATAATATCCTTACCTTCAAGGAGTTCAGCATCATAATATTAACAAGAATTTTTTTTAAGTTAGTGTTCATTGTGTTTTTGCTATGTGCCAGGCACTGGGAATACACAAACAAATATAGAAGACTTATGTCCTCATGAAGCTTCCATTCTAGTGGAAGGAGACAGACTATAAATGAGGAAATGAAATAAGCACACAATTCGAGAAGGTAATAAAATGCAATAAAGATAACTAAACAGTGACAAGAGAATGATTAGGGAGAGGCACAAAGGGATAGGGAAAGCCTCTTTGGGAAGGTGACTTTTCAGCTCAGGTCTCAAAAGATAGGAGAGTAAGTGCAAAAATTCCTGTTAGAGACAAGTTTTAAAAGCAGAAATAAGGTCTTGATGTCTGATACATTGAAAGCAGGGGGAAGTTGCTTTGATGTAAAGTCAGGGCTGATTAGTTAATATTAGAGTTTAGATTATATATTGATTACAATACAGTATAGGTATCAATTGAAGAGTTTTAAGCAGTGATCTGATTTATTTACAGCATAATTTCTCTCTCTCTTTTTTTGAGACGGGGGTCCTATTATGTTGGCTAGACTAGACTCCAAACTCTTAGGTTCAAGTGATCCTCAAGTGATCCTCCTCAGCCTCCCAAGTAGTTGGGACTACAGGCATGGGCCATGCACCTGGCTTAACTCTGGCTGCTGAGTAGAGAGTAAACTGCAAAGGTCCAAAAGAGGAAGTGGGAAGACCAGAGGAAGCAGTAGTCCAGACAAGGAATGATGAAGGCTTGGGCCACATTGGTAGCAAAGGAGACAGAAAATGGTGGAATTACTTCATTTCATCCTCATAACTTGGAGGCATTAATGACTGCTCATTATCTCTTATAAATGCAACCCAGAAGCAGAGCACTGGTTTTCCCAAGTTTACTGCTCTTTCCTCAAACAGTGCTTAACACAATGCTATGTACATTGTAAGTATTTAATATATGTCTGTTTGTTACACTGAAAGTGTCTCTGAAAAGATTTAGGTTAGGTTCCTGGGAAGAACGTCCAAGGAAAGGCCAGTGGGTGCTGTATGAAGTAGTGAAATCTTTTGGTGGTTTGTCGGGAGACTCATTTGCCTCAGAGAAGAGGTATGGATGAGCTGAGCCCTCATCTGGGGATTGCCCAGTAAGTAGGAAATACTAGAATAGTATAAGATCACATTACCTTTATCTGCCCACTCCAAAGGAATGAATCGAGCCCTTAACAGGGTTTAGCAAGTTCCTCATGTATTTTGTGTCTAGCCCCAATTTTCCCAGGATCAAAGAAAGTACAAGTTATGCCAAAGCAATGGAACTCAAAACCTAGGCTTGCCAAGAGGAAGACAAATCCAGAGGTAACCTATTCCTTTCCTACAAAGCAATTTCTTTGAGCCCCTGGATGACGTAACCTCAGATTCCACCCAGACCAATGGGTTCCAGGAATCCTATGGTAGGTCACGCCCCAGAACGTAATTCCAGGGAGAATGAAGTTTCCACTGATAGCCTCAGTGTTCTTCCTTCCGGACTTTGTGTGTGGATATTTGGGGATGCCTGAGGTTAGAGGCGGATCCTTGTCTCACAGCGAAGCTAATGGGAACGCAAACAGAACAAAGGGCAAACAACCACCGCAGTGGAAAGGGGTGGGGTCTTATAAGAAGAAGGACCCAGAAATCTGTCAGACACCGGGGACCGCGGAGGTAAAGCTGACCTGGACTAGAGTGGGCGGCTCTAACACAAACCTTAGGTGTAAGGGTGAGGCTTCGTCCAAAGGGTCCTGAGGAAATTTAGCGACACTCACCCTCTCTTCTGGCCAGTGCAGTCTCTTCCCCGAGCCACTCCTCACTACCGAGAAACCCAGACCGGTTCTCACATCCACCCCCAGTGGAGAATGTGAGCTCTCCTTCCCATCCCACGCCTTTCCCCAGGACCTGGCAGGGCTCTTCGCTCCAGCCGGTGCCCGTCTATCTCGTCCCCTAGGACATCGGCAGGACCGTCTCTCACCGTCCCCGGGGGCGCCTCTCCTCTCTGCTGGGTGGCGAGCAGACTCCGTGCAGCCCCTAGCCTGTGGCTGCTTGCCCGCCAGCAATCCCGGGCTGTGAGCTCACATCCTGCGCCCGCGGACTCCGCCCGGAGCCGCGTGCGGCCCAGCCCAGCCGGCCGGGGAGCCTGAGACTACAAGGCCCGGGATGCACAGCGCCCGGGGCTGGGGGTGTGTCGAATACGAATCTCCTGAGAGTCCTCCGCGGAGAGCGCGCAGCCACTTCCGGCAGCCATGTTGGCGCAAAGGCCTCTGGGTCCTGTAGCCAGCCGTCCCTGCTCTTGGGGCCTCTGTTTCCCGGCAGGCTCTGTGAAACGTTAGTGCTTCCGGTGTCAGGTGGTGACGTTATGGGTGAGCAGGTTGTGTAGCCGTGGCAGCGGCCGGTGCTGGCTGGCCAGGCACCGGCTGCCGCTGACCGGAGAGAAGCTCCTGTTGACATCAGCCTGGGCCGCAGTGTGCTACCGCTACCGGGCCGGGCAGGTAGGCTGTGACTTCGGGTCGGGGGTCGCGGCCGGACCCGGGGCAGAGCCTGACAGGCCCGCACCCTGGGGGAAGGCAGTCCCGGGGCGAAAGAGACGTGGCAATTCCGCTCGACTCTTAGCGGAGCGCTTTTGCACCCCCTTTTGCCGGGAGTTTGACGCGTTGATGCTTGCAACGATATTATGTGGAGACTGCTGCTCGGATAAGTTCAAGGAATTTGGATAGTAAAGGCAGAACCAGCCCTATTACCCAGGCCTTCCTAACTTTCTGCCCAGTGCCCCTTCTACAGGATGAGCCCGCTCGTAGCAGTGCCTAGCAGAGGGCAAGTCACCACCGTCATTCTCAGGGAGTTCAGTCCCACCTCCTGTGCTGGGTGTTGCTCAGATATTCAGACAACGCGTGTGGTGGGAGTTGGTAGAGAATCTGTTATCAACTGTCAATCGTTTCCTTACATCCCTTCTTCCATCTTCTCTATCTCATTCTATCTCCTCCATTCATACAGTTGGCTCAAGCAAGATTCATGGGAATCATGCCTCTTTCACTCATCCCCAACTCCCTCATTCCAATCTATTTATTACTAAATCCTATCAAATCGACTTATAAAACGTCTCAACTCTAAACACTTGTCTATAGCTGCAAACTTTGGTTGCTGTAATAGCCTTCTGTTTCCACAGTCATTCATTCCACAAACATTTACTGAGTTCTAGATGTGTGCCGGCACTGTGCTAGGTGCTAGAGCTACAGTGATGAACAAAGTAGGTGTTGCCCTGCCCTTTTGTTCTTTTCAATCAGTTCTCCAGGCTAGGCCAGAGTGAGCTTTCTAAATCTGATTATGTAATTGCTGAGAATCCACTGACTGCTCATTATTCTTATGAGAAAATTCAAGCTCATTACTACAGGTTTCAGAGCCCTCTACAGTCCGGCGTTAGCCTCCCTATCTGTTCCATTCTCCCTCTTTCTCACTGTTTGAATCACACTGGCCTTTCTATTCTTGGAATGTATCATATTTCTTAATTGCCTCAGGATCTTTACATATGTTTTTCCTTCTGCCACAGAGTGCCTCGCTTCCTCCTTCACTTGAAAAACTTGGACATCCTTTAGGTCTTGACAGTTTGTGTCACTTTTTCAAAAGGCCTTTGTTGATGTTTCCTGCTCCCTCCCATGAATTGTATTCTCTTGCTGCACTTCAGGCAACACTATGTGCTTTTCTTTATATACTGTTGTCACAATTTGTGCTCATTTTCTTCACTACCCTGTCCCCACAGTAGGGACTCAGTAGACCTTTCTGAATAAACACGTGCTCTCAGGGAATAGAGTGGAAGTTTATGTTTGCTTCCTCATGTTATTGAATTTTTCGGTAGCGGCTGGTCTGATTACAATTTCCTGGTAACTGTTAAATATGCACACTACATGTGTAACTAGAACCCTAGAACCAGCAGGAAGATAGTTGTTTTTGGTTTTGTTTTTTTGAAACAGGGTCTCACTTTAGCACTCAGGCTAGAAGACAGTGGCATCATTATAGCTTACTGCAACCTCAAACTCCTGGGCTCAGGTGATCCTGCCTCATGCTCCTGAGTAGCTGGGACTTTAGGCATGTGCCACCACACCTGGCTAAGTTTTCTATTTTTTTTTTTTTTTTATGGAGACACGGTCTTGCTCTTGGTCAGGCTGGTCTCAGACTTCTGAACTTTGACCTCCCAGAATGCTAGGATTATAGGCATGAGCCACTGTGCTTAGCCCAAGAAGACCGATCTTTTTACAAAGCTTTACTGAGGATCTCTTGAGCCCAGAAGTTTGAGGCTACACTGAGCTACAATTGTGCCACTGCACTCCAGCCTGGCCAACACAGTGAGACTTTGTCCCAACAAAAGAAAACCATACAGCCAAACAAACAAACACTATTAAAAGGAAGCTGTGGATGATTAAAATGTTTCATTCAAAAGGACGATGTTAGCTTACTTTAGTGGCTTCCAAGGAGGCCAAAGCCAGAGTTGTACATGGATGGCCCATAGATATGCATTAGTTGGCACATACAATGTTGGATGTGGGTTTTTTTCTCCCCTTTAAATTTTTGAATTTGGCTCTGTGCCTGTAGCTCAAGTAGCTAAGGCACCAGCCACATACACCAGAGCTTATGGGTTTGGATCCAGTCCAGGCCTGCCAAAACAACAATGTCAGCTATAACCAAAAAATAGCCAGGCGTTGTGGTGGGCATCTGTAGTCCCAGCTACTTGGGAGGTTGAGGCAAGAGAATCACTTGCGCCCAGGAGTTGGAGGTTGCTGTGAGCTGTGGTGCCACGGCACTCTACCCAGGGTGACAGCTTGAGGCTCTGTCTCAAAATAAATAGATAAATACATTTTTGAATTAGGCTGGGTATGGTGGCTCATGCCTATAATCCCAGAACTCTGGGAGGCTAAGGCAGGTGGATCGCCTGAACTCACCAGTTCGAGACCAGCCTGAGCCAGTACAAGGACCCCCCCCCATCTCTAAAAATAGCCAGGTGTTGCAGTGAGTACCCTTAGTCCCAGCTACTTGGGAGGCTGAGGCAAGACCCAACAGTCTGAGGTTGCTGTGAGCTATGATACCACGTGGCACTCTATCAGGAGTGAAAAAGTGAGACTTTGTCTCAAAAATAAATAAATAAATAAATAAATAAATTTTGAATTAGATACCAACATTTTGATATTGGATTTCTGGTCCTCTTGAAATTTAGAAGTTCTGGTAAAAGGCAGGGCTCAGTGGCTCATGCCTATGATCTTAACACACTGAGGGGGCCAAGGCAGATGATTGCCTGAGCTCAGGAGTTTGGGACCAGCCTGAGCAAGAGCAAGACCCCATCTCTTCTTTCTTTTTTTTTTCTTGAGACAGAGTCCCACTATGTCACCCTTGCTAGCTTAAGCGATTCTCTTGCCTCAGCCTCCTAAATAGCTGAGACTACAGGCACCCACCACAATGCCCGGCTATTTTTGTGTTGTAGTTATTGTTGTTTAGCAGGCCGAGGCCAGGTTTGAACCCACCAGCTCTGGTGTATGTGGCCAGTGCCCTAACTGCTGAGTTAACAGGTGCTGAGCCAACCCCATCTCTTCTAAAGATAGAAAAACTAGTCAGATGTTGTGGTGGTGCTTGTAGTCCTAGCTACTTGGGAGGCTGAGGCAAAGGGATCACTTGAGCCACAGAGTTTGAGGTTGCTTGGAGCTGTGATGCCATGGTACTATACCCAGGGTGACAGTGAGACTGTGTCTCAATAAAAGAAGAAAGTTCTGTTACTAGTGAGACTTAATTCTTTTTCAACCATTCCTCCTGTTGTGGCCCACCTGCTCTAGATAGTCACCCTCAGAATTCCTCCATTTAGAACTGAACTTTCAGCCGGGTGTGGTGGTACATGCCTGTAGTTCCAGCTACTTAGGAGGCTGAGGCAAGGGGATCACTTGAGCGCAAGACTTTGAGGTTGCTGTGAGTTATGATGCCATGGCACTCTACCCAGGGCAACTGAATAAGACTCTTTCCCAAGGTGTCAAGAAGGAAAAAAACAAAAACAACCAAACTTTTCAAAGCAAGCTGGAGGGGAAACAGGTGAGGTTGGAAGAGATAAGAGAAGGAAGAGGCCGATGTAAGGCAAGGTGATGGTAGCTTTTGGAATACGTGGGTTTTAGAATTAGCATAGTAGCCAATGGCTAGTCCTAACTAGCATTGCCTCTCCCTTATTTATTTATTTAGAGACAGTCTCACTTTGTTGCTCTTGGTAGAGTGCTACAGTATCACAGCTCACAGCAACCTCCAACTCTTGGGCTTAAGTGATTCTCTTGCCTTAGCCTCTCCAGTAGCTGGGACTACAGGCGCACCTCACAACCCCGGCTAT